TATATTTATATATATATGTTAGATTATATGCAAGTGATGGGCATACGCTAATATTAGGTTGTATGTCAATGTTTGATTTTATGCAATTATTGCGAATATATTGATGTTAGATTGTATGTTAATTTTAGACTATATGCAAGTAATGGGTAATGTAATCAGTTGGGCGTGTTATCAAGCCCCACGTGTGGACACATACCGCGTGCGCCCGGTATAAATGAGTGAGTATTTTAAATATAAAATGTAGTATGAGTATTGGCTGTGTTTAGTAGTCTCTATATGGTAACCATGGTGATCTGCCATGGCCCAATCGTATCACTTGGCTGTGTTAATCTATAGGAATGGATTACTATTCAGCGTAAGTTGACAATAATCGAACTCGGCCCAATGCGAGGGCTTTTTTAAAATCACACATGTTCATAAGAGAATGTTTCGATGTGTAATTCATCTACGGGTCTTTTCGTACCGGTTTTAGGGTTTTATGAAAGGTTTTAGGTTTTAATCCCTGAACCAAATCAAACCCCTAAAACCCTAAGCCCATTGTGCTCAGCGTGTCGATAGGAGCGTTCGTATCACTGACACGGGTGGTGACAACTGGCATGGGGTCAGTGCATGAATTTAGGGTTTGATGTTTTCATACACTGTGTACCTGTAAGGAATGAGTGCGTGTGGGGGATTTGCAAGTACATTCAACTAGGTATCCTAAACCCTAAATTCTAAACCTTAAAGCCCCAAATAGGTATGAGTATATGAGGCCACTCTGACGGTTGCTTCAATTATGCCTGTGTAAGCTGAACACCAGACACCGACCACTGCTCATTTGTCAGGAACTGACGGCTGCGGTTGTAGTGAACCCTACAAGACCTGTAGGCTCATGCAATGCAGTGGTCGCATAGGCCATATCAGCTCTGTGTAGAATGATGTCCAACCATGCCTTCGCGTTCTCATGTACATACATACATATATATATACGACTATTTTTCTTTTACATAGAAATAGGTGTCCCAACGATGATCAATATATCGAGCACATACCTGGACAGACAAGCATTCCCATGCGCGCACATACACTCCCCCTCCCCTCCACTCCCCTACAGAGACAACGCAACATAATCTGCGACCCCAGCCAACCACACAACACAGCCGTTCGCTTGGTGGTGCTGTCACCCGTTGTACAGGAGATCACCCAACTGCCCACAGACGCACAGGCCTTCATCCGTGCCAGGAGGGCTGAGGTGGTGGGTCATCCCATTGCCCTGTCCTATAATTACTGGTCCAGTGCAGATGTCCTCAATGCGGTGCTGCCCCTAGGACAGGACGAGGTGCGCCATTGCATCGGGAGGGCGTGTGTAGTTGTGTGTTGTATACGTGTGGTGTATGGTGTTGTGTGTAGTTGTGTGTTGTATACGTGTGGTGTATGGTGTTGGGGTGTGTAGTTGTATGTTGTATACGTGTGGTGTGTGGTTTTGGGGTGTGTAGTTGTGTGTTATATAGGTGTGGTGTTGTGTGGTGTTGGGGTGAGTAATTGTGTGTTGTATAGGTTTGGTGTTGGGGTGTGTTGGGGTGTGTAGTTGTGTGTTGTATAGGTGTGGTATAATGGCGGTGCATTGAACTGTCAGTCGCACTTGTGCAGGTGTGTGCGCTGTGTAACTATATGGGCCTATGGCGCATTCACGCGCTCGAGAGAGTGATACGTAGGTGTTTGTACATGATTGTTCGAATAATGCAGATAGTTATTTTATGGACGTATGTCCAATCGGCAGTGTTGGTAGCACTTGTTATACTTATAAATATATATATATATATATATATATATATATATATATATATAACTAAACTAAAACTAATTA